GGATTCGACGAAGGAGCGTCCGGAGGGCTTGCGGCAACCACATGTGACGACCCCGGGCTGGACTCCTCTTCGTCCACGGTGAAAGCCGATCCGGCGATCCACAGCACAAAGTTGTAGTATTTCCTCAGCGACCAGCACGGCGGCGGCAACAATACTACAGCCAGAATAAAAGTTACGCTGCCTTTCTTTGCATGAACATTTGGGCGGCGTTATGCAAATCTTCCCACATAGTTTATGTAGACATGTGGGGGTGTGTTAGAATGAGCCATTTTAGGTAGGTGTGGCTGACTCTGAACTTTTATAAAGAATATCTCTTTGGATTTGAGACTTTAGTCTTTGCAACTTTACAGATCTTCTTTATGCACCAAGAACTTGTAACACTCCGAAGAGAAAGGAAAAGTTGAAATCGCATCATATGACCCCTTTAAAACTGTGGTGAGAACTAACCAGTGCTGAAACGGGGGGTTTCAAAATACCCTTTAAAAATACTACTAAGAATATAAAATGTATTTTTATGTTTACCCTATAAAGATCAGAAAAGATTTCACAGCAAAGAGACATGAACCACAAGCTAAAGGGGGACGTTTTTAGAATGGCATTTTACTTGCTAAAACGTATCAATCAGAAGATAGAAGCATGTGGTTGATTGAAATTGTAGGCTTTTGTAGGCTTTATAGGGTTAAAATAAAGAAAGCCAAGCGGCCCTGACAAATCTACTAGGCTGCTGGGAATTAATATATCTGACTCATCTTTTGCCAGGAATTTGTGCGGGCCACAGCGTGATGGTTTGAGGGTAAAACAAAGCTCCGGGTGGGCTAAAGTATGATCAGTAACCCTCTCACTTTGAGCTCCCTCCTCTGAGACTATGAGGCAAGCAGTAACCGCCACTCTCTCTGTGTGGAGTGAGAGGCGTTTCGGATACTCCACCCTCAAGGACTCCAGCGAGTCGCTGCTGGATGAGCGCAAGCTGAGGCCTGGTCTGAAGGAGGACTCTGTCATTGAAGAGAAAGAGCGGGCAGAGAATGAGCAGGAGCAGCTGGAGGCTGTGCTGGGACTTCCATCGTCTCCTGTGGAGGACTCCCACCAAATGGGCAGCACAGAGCCCTCGGACCCCACGCTAGACTGCAAGAAGAGTGGTGAGATGGAAGCGTCACTAGTGTCTGGCAGGAGGAAGAGTTCACTTGGTGCTTTGCCTATGCAGCGCTGCAGTTCCCTGGGCACTACAGCCCCGCAGTGGGTCCCTGATTCTCAGGCACCAGCATGCATGAAATGTGGATCCAAATTCTCCTTCACCAAAAGACGTCATCACTGCAGAGCATGTGGGAAGGTGAGAGATGCATGTGGAAATTTAAGTTTAAAGGGATAGTTTAATTATGTCATCATTTACTCATCCTAAATTTGCTCCAAACCTGTATGAGTTTCTTTCTTCTTCTGGACACAAAAGAAGATAATTTGAAGAATGTTGCTAACCAAACAGTTGTTGATCCCCATTGATTTCCACAGTATGAAAAAATATGTAATGGAAGTGGATGGCTACAAGCAATTGGTTATTTACCAACATTCTTCAATAGTACCAACAATAATACCAATAGTAATGTTGTTACGACACTGGAATTTCTAAATTCGATACGATACCTTGAAAAATATTGATATTTGATACCATTTTGAATACCATGGGGAAGAACTCCCAAAACATTAAGGGCATAAAATTTGAGATTTCTATTGAAAGAAAAAATATAATAAGGCTAGAACATTTGCATATGTTTATTTGAAATTTCTTAGAAAATTCTTTAGAGAGAAGTATAATTTTTTTCCCATTTTTACCGAAAATGGGGTGGTGTGAGCATTATGGAGCATTGATTCATACTGTAAGTCAGAGGGTGCCGTTGCGCAGAAACTCAAAATATGCCACATAAAAGTAATATAATATGTGACATTCCAGGAAATCCCTAATATGGACAAAGGCATCCAGCTGTATGGCTGAAACGGCACATTCACACGGGGTGTCCGCGTTAATGCTTAATTTACTTTGAATGGGTGACGTCATGCATTACCGAACTAAATTGTGGGTCCGTCGGCATCGTGTCACCAAAGCCACTAGAAGGCAAGCCTGCAACTTTTAGCCAAAAAAGCGTAATGGCTAATGCTAATGCTTCCGGTTTGCCAGTATGTGGGAAAGAAGACCAGAGGCCGTTATTTTTTTTAATGGATGTCAATGGAGGAGAGGCTTCACTACACTGAATAAACAGCTTTTTAGAGGAAACCGCTTATAATTTAATGGATCGACAGCCTATCAGCTAATCTCTAACATGTTTTACACTAAGCAATACTTTTGGATTGAACTATTTTTAGAGTTTACACTGAAAAAAATGCCGTTTTATAAGAGAAGTCACTGACTTTTTGCGACAGGTGGGATACAGCTTACGGCACTTCTCATTCATTCCTATGGTATCCGTAAACGGCGATTGAGTGTCGCACAACTCTGACTGAAATTCAATGATGTCAAGGCTGTAATGTGATTGGTTATTAAGGCACACGTGATCCAAGTTGACCATTACGCTTTCTCCAATAGTAAGTAATACAGACCCTCTCATTTCCCTATAGTGAGACCATCTCTGCGTCACTGGCATTGCTCGCGGCAGAAGTTGAAAATTTCTCAACTTTTCAAGTGCCAATGGAGGCGTCAGCCAATCAGATTGCCTTATGCAAATAGCCTAGCTCAGGCACTGTTGTCACTATGATGATCGCGTCAGCACCAAGCTTCAGACACGCCCTCCGTCAAGTGTTGATGCCGACACCCCGTGTGAATGTACCATATAGTGATGGGAAGTTCGCATAATTTTACTGACTCGGATCTTTCAATCTCGTTCAGCCAAATTAACGAATCCTTTTTCAAGTCATTTCGTTCATTTCTGCAGAATTTAATTAAAATGTTACGTTAATATCCAAATTCCCCAACACATCTATTTACGCAAACATTGATCACATTTTGAATAAGTCAAAACTATAATGCAACCAAAACCAAATGATAAAAAACAGACATGATTGATTCATTGCTTAGCTGGCTATGCAGTCTGCTAGTTCACCACCTCACCTCCCGAGTCTTTGGGTCGTTCGTTCGTTTGTCACGTCACATCCTTGTAAGGCTAACTGAAAACTATGCAGTGTTTACAGGAAAGAGAATTTATTAGTTCACCTCTCGAGTCCTCGGGTACGAGTCGTTCGTTCTTTTGTCACGTGACCGTTTCCTGGATCAGTATCTCGTAATGTTGTGTTATATTTCCATATTATCAAAGTGATTTTCCCCATCATACGGATAAAGTTGAAAGCATTAACTAACTCTTCATTACCACATTCAATGTTATGGAAAAGAACCATCACAGAAATTCACAAATTTATAAATCGTAAGAAATAAAAAGCTATAAAGCTCAAAATTTGAGACCAGAAACATTACATAACTGTAAGAGTAAAAAAAACTAACTACACACTTGTTTGTAAGGAAGGTTGGGAATTATTAACTAATTTCTGTATCCATTGCTGCTGTCAAAAGAACAAAAGTCAAAAGACTCGGACTCGAAGACTCAAGAGGTGAACCAATCATTTCTCTTTCCAGTACAGACTGCATTGCCTCTAGTTTATGGGGAAATTAACTAATCATTTCTGTTTCCTGTACAGAACCTATTGGATGTTGCGCATGCGCAGTCAACACGAAATCAACGAATCGTTCAAGAACCACCCATCATTACACTGTAACTGAATAAAATGGATAGAAATGCTTTAACTGATCAAACATGAAGACAGTAATAATATATTGTTTATCTGTGTTCTTAAAGCCATCCCAGGTATTTCATAAGAATAAAGTAATTTTATATATAATGCAATGCTATTTGACATACAGCAGAATAGTATAAATGTTTTCTGCCTCATTCTGATAAGAAGTCACATCAGATCACAAATGGAAGTTATATACTGGCATTATGAAGTGAATTTGGAGTAAAGATATGCTGTTAAATGTGTATTTTGTTGGACAACAGGTTTATAAATGCTTCTCATTACACTGTGGTTTGAGTGAATTGGCTGTCAGAGAGAAGAGAGAGTGAGAAAGCACAGCTGCTATCAGTGTATCGATAGCCTACTTAAAAAAAAAAGTTTTGAAACCGTTTTAGATAAATGATAAAAAACAGACATGATTGATTCATTGCTTAGCTGGCTATGCAGTCTGCTAGTTCACCACCTCACCTCCCGAGTCTTTGGGTCGTTCGTTCGTTTGTCACGTCACATCCTTGTAAGGCTAACTGAAAACTATGCAGTGTTTACAGGAAAGAGAATTTATTAGTTCACCTCTCGAGTCCTCGGGTACGAGTCGTTCGTTCTTTTGTCACGTGACCGTTTCCTGGATCAGTATCTCGTAATGTTGTGTTATATTTCCATATTATCAAAGTGATTTTCCCCATCATACGGATAAAGTTGAAAGCATTAACTAACTCTTCATTACCACATTCAATGTTATGGAAAAGAACCATCACAGAAATTCACAAATTTATAAATCGTAAGAAATAAAAAGCTATAAAGCTCAAAATTTGAGACCAGAAACATTACATAACTGTAAGAGTAAAAAAAACTAACTACACACTTGTTTGTAAGGAAGGTTGGGAATTATTAACTAATTTCTGTATCCATTGCTGCTGTCAAAAGAACAAAAGTCAAAAGACTCGGACTCGAAGACTCAAGAGGTGAACCAATCATTTCTCTTTCCAGTACAGACTGCATTGCCTCTAGTTTATGGGGAAATTAACTAATCATTTCTGTTTCCTGTACAGAACCTATTGGATGTTGCGCATGCGCAGTCAACACGAAATCAACGAATCGTTCAAGAACCACCCATCATTACACTGTAACTGAATAAAATGGATAGAAATGCTTTAACTGATCAAACATGAAGACAGTAATAATATATTGTTTATCTGTGTTCTTAAAGCCATCCCAGGTATTTCATAAGAATAAAGTAATTTTATATATAATGCAATGCTATTTGACATACAGCAGAATAGTATAAATGTTTTCTGCCTCATTCTGATAAGAAGTCACATCAGATCACAAATGGAAGTTATATACTGGCATTATGAAGTGAATTTGGAGTAAAGATATGCTGTTAAATGTGTATTTTGTTGGACAACAGGTTTATAAATGCTTCTCATTACACTGTGGTTTGAGTGAATTGGCTGTCAGAGAGAAGAGAGAGTGAGAAAGCACAGCTGCTATCAGTGTATCGATAGCCTACTTAAAAAAAAAAGTTTTGAAACCGTTTTAGATATTTCAGTATTGATGAGTATCGAAAAATCAATATTTTTGACAACACTAATTGCTAGTTAAGTTTCCTCTACCAAAAATATTTAAGTTGATATTATATGATGATATTAAGTTATATGTATGAGTTTGTTCCAATGTTTGGAACAACTTGAGGGTAAATAAATTTTTCATCCCTTTAGGATGTTATTCTCCTTCAAAACATGAACGGTCAATTTGTTTCACAGGTGTTTTGTGTGGTGTGCTGTGACCTGAGATTCAGACTGACTCATCTCGGTGGGAAAGAGGGGCGTGTTTGTGTAACCTGTCATTCAGCTTTGATGAACCGTGAGTGTCGTGGTGGATTCCCCTACTTGTGTGCTTTCACACATTAGTTACACAGTTACAGTGATGTCATTTCATCAGGGACGCTTCGCAAGGACCAGAAGAAGGTCTGGTTTGCAGATAATCTCCTTCCTCAGTCTGAGAGTAGAAGTGCCAACAGCTCTCCCGTTTACAGGAGTGTGTCCCACACAGAGAGGGCTGAGCTCGCCCAGGCGGTATGACAGGACATCTTTCTGCTTCTCTGCTTGTCTGTTATTTAGTTTAAATGTATTATTTTCCCTTTGATTTTTGTGAAGTAACATAAATAAAATATAAATATGAATATATATATATATATACACATAAATGTAAATATGTCTTATTTACATTTATTTCTTAAATGTAAATAATATTTCTTAAATATAGATATGTATGTGTGTCAATTTGATGGCCCTAATGAATTTATTTACTTTATTTAGTTTGATTTTATTATTATTTTTTATTTTAAATTTCCCATTAATCTTTGTGAAGAAACATTTTTACAGTCTTATAACGACCCTATATTTTATTTTAATGTCTTTTTAATCTTTGTAAAATGACTTTAAATAACATTTTTGCCTTCTTGTAATGACCCTTTATAATCACCTTATTGAGAGGATGTTTTTTATTTTATTTTATTTTATTTATGGTTTCATTTTATTCTTTGTGAAGTAACCTTTAGAAAATTTTTACATTTTTATAATTTTTTTATTAGCACAATGACTTTCAATGTTTTTTTACGCTGTAGGAAGTGCCTGACCTTAGAGCAGGAGATGAAGTCAGTGGTCTTAGTGGCAACTGTACTAAACCTGCTCCACCAAAGGACCTTCCCCCAATTCTGACATCTACAGGGGTCAAAGGAGGTAAGAATGTGTCCTAATAAGCACACTAGCTCTGACTAATTAGGAATAATTCACCCCAAAATCATTTTCCCAAACATTCATTACTTACTTCTGTGGAACAAAAATATTTTCCATATAATGAATGCATACAGTGATCGCATGCTGCCATGCACCAAAATCCTTTTATGATGGCAACAATATGAGAATAAACAATGACAAAAATGCTATATTTGAGTAAACCATCATTAAAAACAGTCACTATGAAATGTTGTTGATATTTCTAAAGCATTTCATGAGTGATTTTGATATTTCAGAGGCTGGTTCTTGTCTTTATTTCTGCAGACTACACTTTGGAGGAGAAGAGAACCGAGTCGTCGCTCTTAGAGGAGTTGGAGAGAGGTCTTGCTGAGCCTCTGGTGTTTGTGCTCAACGCAAACCTGCTGGCTGTGGTGAAGATTGTCAGCTGTATGTTGCAAATGTTTGTTCTCAACAAAGCTGTTCTGTAGACGGTGTGGTCAGTCGTATCCAAACTGTTTGTGTGTGCATCTGTTCTCAGGATGTGTGTGCAATAACAGTTCGGTTTAACTTGAAGAAATTACGACAGAAATGTATTTTATACTAAAATGTAATTCTTAAAATAATAATAATAATAATAATCATAATATATTATTATTTTTAAGTAATATCATGCAACAAAGATATTTTTCATTCATGTTTTAATTTACACAGTTCTGTTGTGCAGCATCTTATTTGACAAAAAATAAAAAGAAGTGCGGAACGAGGAGACATCAATAATGAGATTTTAATGACTTCAAGGGAACCAGGAAAACACGTAGCTGAGAAGGTTGACGCATACAATACCAGACGAAGAACTAAGAACACTTCAAATACACAAGACATGACGAGAAACACCTGGAACTAATGAAACATAATAACATGAGGGAAAACACAGTTGGAAACAAATGGGAAACAATCAGGGAGCAGGAACAGGAAAACCAAATAAGGGCATGGAAACACATGGGGAGCAAAACACGGAACAGAGTCTGACATTACTACCCCCCCTCCCGGAAAGGCGCGTCCCGCACTGTAACAACTCCACCAGGGAGGGTGCCCTGGAGGCTGGTGCAGGACTGGGACACAGGGAATACCTCCAGGGCGGAGCAGGCAGTTCGGGGCGCCATGGTGGAGCAGGCAGACAAGGAAGCCATGGCGGAGCAGGCAGTTCAGGAGGCCATGGCAGAACAGGGAGCTCGGGGAGCCATGGCGGAGCAGAGAGTTCAGGAGGCCATGGCGGAACAGGGAGCTCAGGGCGCCTGGCCCGGCCTCCATGGA